AGTTATCTAGGTCTATTGGAATGCACAACATTATTTTTACGATATTCACACAGGAAAATAAATACAAATGCAAATTTCATACTGGAAATTCATTTATTTTTTATTGTTTAATAGCTATCATTAATCAATCTCTATTGCATTATTATTTTGCATTTCTTCATAGCTATAATAATCCAGTTCATAATCGTCAAGATTATCGCCAAGCTCATCGTCGTCTAGCTCACTATCATCCAGCTCACCATCGTTCAGCTCACCATCGTCCAGCTCACCATCGTACAGCTCACCATTGTCCAGCTCACCATTGTCCAGCTCACCATCATCATAATATTGTTCATCACCTGAAAGTATGTCTTGGATTGGTGATTCATCCAAGCGGTTTGCGACAATAGCTTGGAGGCGATGCGACATTTTATCATCTTCACTACCATCAGGATCAAGTATGAGCCTGGCTGCTTCGAAAGATTTAACTAAAATATTTGGGCTGATCTCTTTCCATGTCTCAGACACCCATTCACTGATAAGTTCATAGGATGCTTTTTTTTTATTTCCTTTCTTAGTATATTTTTTTTTTTCTTTATCCATCCATTCTTCCCATCTTTTTCTCATTCCACTTTTAAAAGGCTTGTTTACAGAGACATCTGGTGGCTGCAAAACACTAGTGGTTCCTCCAGGTATTTCTAACACGTCCAAGCCTTCTTTATTAAATACTCTAATTACATCATCATGATTATGGCTACGATGTGCATCAACAAAAATAATACCTTTGCTTTTGAAAAATCCATTCGGCCTGGCTCTAATAACTCGTGGAATATATGTGGAAATCATTAAATCTCTAGTCATAGTTGCAGAAGGGGCAGGTACTACCATAATATCTCGTGGGAATCTGCCTTTTGGCTTTTTTTTTAATTTAAAGATTACTGTTGGTGGGAGTTTTTCACCGGCTGCCGTATAACCCAAAACCACTGTAAATCGTAGTTTTTCATTGCCTGTGGTTTTAACTAGCACCTCACGAGAACCTTTGAAATCGATTGTTGAATCCCATGGCATATCGAACCATATAGGCGTTTCGTCAAAAGATAAAATATATTTTTTTTCAATGTTATGCGTTTTTTCACACGAAGTTTTAAGAAAATTTTTAATAATCAAAGGCATGTTCTCAGGAACTTTTTGTGCTATTTGCGTTCTGGCACGCTTTACTAATTTATGTCGTTGTTTGAGACGTTCGGCCCAACCACGCGAAAACTTCATACCCCTAATACTCATGGTTTCACCTAAACTTTTAGCTTTTTTTATAATCATTGATGTTGTCACCGTGACTTTTTCTTCCCTTCTTGTTTTAATAAACTCCAACAGCTCTTTTTCCAACATAGGGTGTACTGCTTTTTAACCATGACCTTCAAGCACCCGCACTCGTTCTATATTAAAATTTTTGTTTTCTCTAATTTTTTCAAACTCTTTTTTCTGCTTGCGCCACTCTTGAACACATCTACGGTCAACATTATAATACAGAGAAGCTTTATGATTGGAGGTATCTTCTGCATACGAGATTACTTCAAGCTTGAACGTGACAGTGAAACTTCGTTTTGGGCTCATATTCACTTGCAAACAGAATAAACAACTTGTGTATCGAAGCTAATAAGAATAACGTTGCATTTTATATTATGAACACATGTAATACAAAAAAAAAAAATATATATATATATATACTACACCATAAGTTACTTCACGATTTCTTAAGGCCGATGCATCATTTGGTTCAATTTTTGATGCCTTAGTTAAATCATTAAATGGATCTTTATATTTGCTCATAATACGGTAAGTTATCCTCATTTTTTCTTGGTAAAGTGTATTATCAGCAATAATGATAATATAGCATCATTATAAGTAAATTATTACAATAAAAAAATAGCTTATTTAAAAAAAATAATTTTGATATATAGTTCTACGAAGTTGAAACATTCATTAAAAAAAAAAAAAACTTCAGGAATTTGAGTTAAATATAATTAAGCAAATCTGTAGTGTTATATAGTAAGTGTTTGTTGGATTACGCCAAGAAAAAATTGAAAATTACGATTTTAGAAATTTCATACAAGATGTTATTGTTACCGTTAACTAATTTAGGCTAAAATTTCCAAAATCGCTGTTTCCAGTTTTTGTTTGGAGTTCCCATACATAACAATAAGTTAAGATCGTGCATCGAATGAATCGGTAGTGCAATGCTCTGAAAAGTAAAAATAATAGGCGCTTGACTCTAATAATATATATATATCGATATTTTTTTTATTTTTTTATTTTTTTATTTTTTAAACAAAAGTCACCATCATAACTTTTATGATTTATAATCATCGTGAACCCAAGCAACTCGAAGTCATATATTAATTAAAGCCGATTATCTTTCATGCTTATTCGAAAAAGTCATATTACCATTCTGTCGCTTTAAATGTAAAAATTGTAAGTTTGAAATTATGTGTATTTCACGTTCCTAATATTAAAAGTTTTGATTATTCTAAGTTTAAATTAAATATATAATTATATATAAATATGTTCTTATAAATGTAAAATTAGCGGAATAAGAATTGAAATAGATGAAAATAAAGTATTTGAAATGTAAGTATTATGGAATTGGAGTTGAAAATGGGAAATACTAATAGAATTAAAAACGGTAAATAAAGTATCCATTATCATGTCTGTGGAAAAATTCTAGTAGAATATAATGATATTAATTTTTAAAACTGGTAATTCTAGAGTATTGCTAGTAAAATTGTGTCGAAAAGGATGAACGTAAGGTAAGATATTAGCTATTGTATTTGCTAAAAAGAATATTAGTTTAATTTGAGTCAAGAAATTATTGATTAACTTTCTAAAATAAAAAAATCCTAGTGCAATCGGAATTGAGAAAGATGAAATAAGATATTC